CATATAAAAATTAATGAATTGAAAAATTGAAAAATTTATATGACGAAAAGTAGAGATTTTTTGCAAAATAGTACGGGAAAGCACGAATTATATTTAATGATATTCGAAAAAAAAAATGCTACAATTTTTTCTAGTACATCATCGAGTATTTGAATTCAAGTAAAATATAAGTATTTAAAAGATATCAAATATTTAAAAAAAAAAAACGAAAATAAAATAAAAATCTACCAGATTTTTTTTGTAACAGAATATATCATTAGAGAAATTTGAGTCACAAACATAAAACATAGTTAAAATGTTTGAAAATTGTGTTTTAGTTTTTTCTATTTGTATAATTTTAAATTTGATTCTTTTAAAGAAATTTGCATAACAATTTAATATTTATGCATAATATTAATGATAAAAATAGTGCAACATTTTTTCTGATGATAAATTTTTTTTTTAAATTGGCCGATAATTTCTCAAACAGATATTATAAATGATATCATTCAAAATGCATCAAAAATTACTTGGAATTGAAAAGTTTTTCAAACTTTTTTGTATCAAAAATGATAAAAAAATAAAAATGGAATAGACGAAAACGGAAAAATTTTAGTGTCGTTGAAACGAAAAAAAAATGAGAGAAAAATCTTCGATCAGCCTAATGATAAAATTTATACTGAATTATGGGTTCGAATAATTTTAATGGTTCACTTATTTAAATTTTTTCGTTTCCAGCAATTTGAAATACTGCAATTGAGCAATCGAAAGAACAAATGTGATGGTTGAGGAAAAGTTTCCCTTCTTTTTTATTTTATTTTCTCAGAATGGAATTTTAAATTTAAAGAAAAAAGAGGATAAAAATTGGATGTAAAGCAATATCTTCAAAATTTCTGTACTTTATGAAATTAAAATTTGAAAAATGAAAACTTGTAGAATGAAAAAAAAATGACAGAGAGCAAAAAAATTCTCATCTATTTCTCAAATTTTCCTTCATTCTTTTTCATTTTTTCTTCCTTTGCTTTTTTTTTTTCGTTTGATCTCACATAAAAGAAAACGGTAAAAAGAGGAAGAAATGGAATGAAGAGAGGAAGATAGAGAGAGAGAGAGAGAGAGAGAGAGAGAGAGAGAGAGAGAGAGAGAGAGAGAGAGGGAGAGGGAGGAAGAAAGAGAAATGTAAGAAAGAGGAAGGAATTGAATTGAAAAAAAAATACAAATGAATACAACGATTGTTGCGTAATTGGTTCGATGATGAAATGCTATAATCTCCTTCAAGACTGAAATATAAAATATTACGAAAAGATTTGGATAAAAATTTAAAATCAGGAAATTTTTTTCTTATTGATAGATGACAATTTTTTTACTTCCATGTTTTCTTTCCATTTCTTTTCATTTTATAAGTGTCTAAAATTTTCCAAAAAAAAAAAAAAGAAAGATGCTGATATTTTTTTCTTTCTTACTTTGTTGCAAAAGAAGGAATTTATAATTGATTTAACGAATTTTCATTTTCTAATGAAATCATGAGAATTGGAAAGAGATGCAAAAAATAAAAAATATTTGTTTTTTTTTTTAGTTTTAATCAATTTCATATTAACCGATAATTACTAATCATTATTCGTCTAGTAAATCATGATCTATGAATTCATTTCAGTGTGTTATACTTTAATACTGAAGAACAGCTCATAAACGATGAATAAGCTATTAACAAATAAATTAAGTTTGTAACAAGGCCAACATATTAAAATTTATTTGGGCAAAAAAAAAATGAAAAATTTGAATTTTCCAATCAATTGTAACAATGAAGAATATTTGTTATGCTATGTAATTTTACACCAAATTCTTCTTTTTTTTTTTGATATTTGTCTTTTTCAACTTTTTTTTTGTCGACTAAAGTTTGAATGCTAAAGTTTGAAAATGTTATGAAAAGATTGCTGATAATTTAGTGATGTTTTAGATGTAACACAGTTCATTGATACATTTTATATATAACAATTATTCGCGATAAGTCGGTCAAATTACATTCACTTTAATTCATATTTCTCGACACTCCTTTCTTTCTTCTTTTCTTGCAAATAAATCACAAATGGCAAAATCGTCGGGAACAAATAGGCATAAAAATTAATTTCATTAATAATATCAAAGAAATTCAACTCAACTTTTCGAATTGTGTCTTTTTTTTTTAATATATACAACTTTTAGTTTTATCTCGTTTTTTTTTTTGTGATGCTAACAAGGAGAAAATAATTTTATATAATTGCTGCTGATATTATTAATTAAATTTTTGTTCTCATTATCAATAATTTTTCATATTTATATGATGTATATGGTTTTAGCGAAAATTTAAATTAAAAAATAAATAAATGTTAGACTATGATTAAGCAAATATCTAGTTGATTTTCTTCTTCTCAACTTTAAAAAAAATCAACTATAAAATTTAATAGCTTCTGTATTCAACGATTTTGTCCGTTTTTTTTTCGGTTTGCTTTTTTTTTGAAAATTTAATTGAAGAAGTTAAATTTTAGACTGAGGAAGTTGATTAGAAAATGCTCTGAATACTTCTGTTAATTCGTCCTCTTATCATCCATCACATCAAATATGATAGTGGGCGGATTTGAAATTTCTCATTAAATAAAACATTTTATTTTCATCTATGATGCATAAACATAAGAATATGCAAATATATACATTTATAGAAATGGGACCTTAAACTTAAACACAATAAATTTGAAAAAGTGAAAGAATAAAGGGAAAATTAAACGAAGAAAGTAACGAATCAAAAAAAATTGAAATTTTTTCAAATGATTATTTTTTAAACTCTATCACAAATAAAAGAAAATACTGAAATTCGCTCTCAATTAAGATTTTTCATTTGTTTTTTTTCTTTAAGTAATTGGAAAAAAAGACAACTGTTTACTAATTAATTTTTCATAAAGGATGTTAAAAGTAAGGAAAAAAAAAACAAATGAAATAGCATAAATTTTTGCAATCTATCTCTTTTGAATACTCATTTTAGACAAAAACGAAATAATAAAAATTATTACAATCTTTTAAAATGTTTCATTTGAAAAGGTTAATGAAATTACAAAAATGGCTAATTTATTAACTTTGCTAAAGAATTACAAGCTCTAATAGCGGCAATATTTTTTCTTTGAAATGCTAATTTGTTATTTTAACGCGAAATTTTCTCATTCTAAATCGATAGTTTCAACTAGAAATTTTTGAAAAAAACATGCTGGAACATTCAGTTTTTTTTCTCTCTTTTTTTCGCCCCTCCTTCAATCCAATTTAAATATGCTTTCATACGGCCATGAATTTTGATTCTTTACGAATTGGTTTAAATAAGCAAACAGTTTGATATTATTGGTTTATTATGGTAAATTACTATCATTGGGAGCATTCTTTTTTTCCACCTGCAATATATGAAAAGCAATTAGAATTTTTCATCCGCTAACTGAAATACTCTAAAAATTAATTTTTCAAAATTAACAAATTGTTTTAAATGATAAAAGTTTTCAAGCCAACTTTTATTTATCAATTTATTATTGCTAGTGCTATTATTGTTATCAGCATTACTTTTACTGTTATCATTATTATTATTATTATTATGAAATTAGATAGATAAAATGCATCAAATTGAATTGAAAATAGTATTTGATAAAGATTGATGATCTTTGTTTATTTGCGTTCTAAATAAATTAGGTATGAATTCAAATTGCACTGGCGAATTCTTAAAAATTTGATATTTTTCCATTTATCAACGTGTAATCAATTGTATCAATTAGCCATATGTTATCCTGCTAACATTATAGTAAATCAATTTAGCTAATTCGATAATAAAATTGTTAGTTTAATTTTAAAGATTTTTACAAAATGCTAAACTAAAAACAAAAGTGCAATGATTTACTTTAAGAGAGTAAGTAAAATTAGCAATGTTAATGGATGAAAAATAATTGAACGTAACAAATTTTCGCAGAATTTTCCATTTTTCATTTAAGTTTATCTGCAAAAATACCTATCTGCTTCAATACTTCATCTTTCTTTTTCTCGGTGAATATTTTTTTCTATTCTCCCTTATCATATCTAATCCGAACTGATAAAATGTAATTAGCATTATTCATCAGTTTTCCTTTCTCTTTTTCTCCACCTCATTACATTGAATTTTTTTCAACTTTTTCATTCATTCGAAATAAATAAATATCAAAACTTTTAACATTAATGTTTACAAACTATAACAATTGAATTTTTTAAATTGTCTAAATTTTTTTTTGCAGGAAATTTTTCCATCTCCACTTATTATTCAGCATTTTTACTTGCTAATATATGTTATTCGTTTATTTATAGAACATTAAATAAGTGATAGCTTTTGTTTTCGTTAGTTAAAAGTTAGAAAGATTTAGCTAAAGCAAAAAATGAAATAAACAAAAAAAAAAAACGAAAATTGATGAGAATTTGTTGGAAAGTGCCAATGTAAAATTCATTTTACTGTTGATCCATCTTTTCATCAATAATGAAATTAATGTGAAAATATTGTTAGCTTCCTTTTCTTTCATTTTTATTTTTACACACACTCTCTCTCTCTCTCTCTCTCTCTTCTTTCTTCTTTCCCTTTTTCAAAATTATTGATAATAAATGTTTACTTATTGCAATGAAGTCAAATGATTGAATGCGTTAATTTTAAATTTATTTAAAATTTGGAATTAAACTTTCTGTTTATTTTGTTTGTTTGTTTTTTCGAATAATTCCCAGAAAAACTTTTTAGTTTTCGTTTCAATTCTTTCTAGCAAAAAATGAAATATATTTCATCGTTTATTCATTTCTTATATTTAAGTTTAATAGTAGCAATGTTTTTTCTCATTTTCCAAAAAAAAAATGCTCGTGTTTTGAAATTCAACTTAGTAAAAAAATATATATTTTTTGCAAAAAATTTCAAATGCTATTTTAGGTAAAAACTGAAATACTTTAATAATTAAAACAATTTGGAGCAAATAATCGATATTGTACATACATACATACATACATATATGGGTAAGGGTTATTATCAAAATATGTACAAAAAAAAAAAAAATTAATTCATATGATATCCATCTGAGCTAAATTTCTTCTCACCCACTTTTTTTTTCAAGCCAAATTAATTTTATCAAATTTCAGATAAGTGCTGTAAATGTGGTGGAGGTATCAGTAATGATAATCCTGGTTGTACAGCCATTGGTGAAATGTTCCATGTGGCCTGTTTCACCTGTAGGAAATGTGATAAACAACTTGCCGGCGGGTCATTTTACAATGTTGATGGTCAACCGCTTTGTGAGGATGATTATATAGTGAGTAAAGGAGAAGAAAAAATTTAATTTAATAATACTTTAATTAAAAATACTAATTTTATTATTTAATCATTCAAGATAACATTTCATCTTCCGTTTTTATCTTTATTTAGGCTTTATAGAATTTCAAATATTCTTTCATTACATTGACGATAGCATTTCTATACTTTTTGACGAATATGATTTGTGCATTTATTGAATTTATTTATGTTTAAACTCTCAATTAAAAATATATAATTAAAATATGGTAATTTTGAAATTATTAATTGCAGAAATCATTAGAACAGTGCAGCAGTTGTGGTAAACCAATTACGGAAAAGCTATTACGTGCAACCGGTGGTGTTTATCACGTGGACTGTTTTGTGTGTACCGCTTGCAATAAATGCTTGGATGGAGTTTCGTTTACCGTTGATTCAGCTAATAAAGTTCATTGCGTCACCTGTTTCCATGAGTAAGTCAGCATTAGCATTTGTTTACTTCTGTTTTTTAAAGTGCTTCAAAATTTGCTTATAAATCAAAAAAAAAGTAACAGAAATATTTGCTATGATTTAATAAAACATTTTCTAATTTATTTTTCCTTTTAATTATTAGTATTTTTTTGATTTTTTCGATTTGTTTACTTTTCAGATTAAATGTTCTTGAAAAAATAAAATTTAAAAAATTTTGGTTTTTCTATTGAAAAATATTGATAAAGGGCAAATAAAAATGATTTATTACGAAATTTTTGTCCAAAATTATACTTTTAAGCAAAAAAGTAGTAGAAAAAGATTTCTTTTGGAATTTTTTTCGATAGAAAGCAGCTTTTTCATAAACTCTTGTAATTTTTAATTTTTTTTTCTCCAAAAGAAGTAGAATTTGAAAAGGTAAGAATTTTTGCAACTTTATTTACATAACAAACTTACTTAAAGTGACACAAAGCAAGCATATTTTTTGAACTGAATAATAAACAAATAATTGATTGGGATACTTTTCCAATTTTGCTTTCGCTTATTTAAATTATTTGTTTGATATTGAATGTTAGCGATAAATAACAGTAAGCAAGGTAAGTGTACATCTTTTTGTGAAATTTTTAGCTCCTCCTCTCTTTTTTTTGTTTTTTTTTTTTTTGATAGAAAGAATTTATTTTACAAAATGAGCTGAAATGGAATTCTAAAAGAGATGGAAAGTTGATTGAAAAAATGGTTAAAAGATGAAAGGATTTTTTAGCTTTTTAATTCAATACTTTTTTTTTTTTTGCAAAATAATAGCTGTATAACAATCCGAGCATCTATTTTGAAATTTTTAAACTTTTTATTTTTTTTAACTTACTCAAAATTTTTTTTTAAATGCTAAAAAAAAAATTTATGGCTTATGCTGTGAAGAAAATTTCGATTGTAATGAATTTCGTTGAAAATGAATGTTTATTCAAAAAAGAGTTCATAGAAATTTCAATTGTTTTTACAGAATTTCAATTTACTTGTTTATTCCTGTTGCTCTTTTTGTTTACAGAAAATTTGCGCCTCGATGTGCCGTATGCTCGAAACCAATCGTACCCGAGGAAGGTCAAGAAGAGTCAATACGAATTGTTGCAATGGATAAAAGTTTTCATGTTAATTGCTATCGATGTGAAGATTGCAACATGCAACTGAATTCTAAAATTGAAGGACAAGGGTAAGAATTTAAAATTTGAAAAAGTATTCATTTGCATATTGCTGCAATCTGCAATCAATTTGCATACAAAACAAAACATGCAAACCATCTTAACTTAAATTGTTTTTCATACACACTGAAAAAAAAAACTGATGATGATGATAAGTAAAAACAAGCAACGATGAATGCTTTATATTTAAATACAATTGCGCTAAAATAGCATACATTAAAGGCAACTATTTCAATTTTAAATTTCATCATTCATTTAAATTCGGCAAAAAAAAAAGAACGAAACGAAATTTTGGCAAAAAATTTGCAGAACATAATTTATTTTCAAAATAATTTGTTAATTACAGATGCTATCCGTTGGATCAACACTTGTACTGTAAAAATTGTAACGGTAAACGATTGATTGCATTAGCGAAAGAGTCTTGAAAAGAGAGAATAAATGAATGATGCGAGAATTTGATAAGAAAACTATCAAATATACGACGAGGAAAAAAAGAAAAAACAAAAATTTGATTCAAATTTTTTTCTTCCATTTCATTCTTGGAAAGGCTTATTTATTATTTAGTAATATATATACTAATTAATATATACTTATTCCATATCTAATGTTTGTTTAAAAAAGATGACTGTGCTGCATAAATTGACTGTTGCTAATTATTGGTCCATCCGCTTATATTCTGCATTTTTTCTTATTTCTTTTCTTGAAATCATACTTTAAAACCTAATTTCGAATTATTTATAGAACTGTTAATAAGTAGCTTTTTAAATTGGATGAAAAGAAATAAAAATTTCTTTTTTGTTCTTTTGAATTTAATGTTCCCTTTAATCCGTTTTTGTGCATGAAAATAAACAATGCGTAGGTCCCAAACGATAAGGATTTCGTGCTAATATCCTTTTTAATGTATAATTAATCAATTATTTTATGATATCTAATTGTTGTTGCTGTGAAATGTGATTTTTTTTTTTTTTTTTTAAAACGAAACTTATAAAAAAAGCGTAAAAGAAGAAAAAAGTTAAAAAAATAGCTTCATTATTTTTTTCGCTTTTTCTTTACTTTTCTTCTTCTTTCCATTTTCTTTTTTTTTTTCTACAAAGCTATTGATATTATTTTGCTCTCCAATTTCATTTCCCCTTCACTCCTATCAATTGATATTTTCAAATTGTTTTAAAATAAAAAATAATGGCAATAGTATGTAAAGAAAAGTAGAAACAAATATCAGCAGAAGTACATTGTTTCATTTTATTATCAGTATCAATTATTAAATATGATGAAAAAAATGAAAAATTAAAGTGATACTGAAAAAGAGAGCAAAATGATATGAAAAAAAAAAGTTTTTTACAAATATTATTTATATATTATGCCATCTTTTTAAACATTTTTCTAATATGATATTGGAAAAAAAAAACTGACCGTTCAGTATATGAAAATAGCATTTTTGTGTATTCAACGAGTATTGCAATTAATAATTATATTCATTTTCTGTTTTATTTTCAAAATATTTATTATAAGATGCAAAAAAAAAAATTTTCGCCTTTTTTTTTGAAATAAAGTATAATAAATTTGAAATTCATTACTTGTTTCTTAATTTAAAAATGATCATTTCTTTTTTTGGTTCATTTTGTTTTTTCAGTATCAAAGGAAGAACCAAAGTTTATTTATTCGTTATATTAATGGAATTATCTTTGCTTTCAATGAGAATTATCGTAAATAGCATTTAAATGTTCTTTTAACGGTATGGAAGATGAACAGATGGATTGATCAATGTGCTTCCGAAAATCACATACAGCATATTATTTATTCAAAATTACTATACTGTGGACTAATCCCCAGTAATCACATATAATCTTTTGATTCTTACCGTAATTCATCCACAATAATCCTTAAATATTAAAAAAAAAAAAAAAACAGCAAAAATTGAAATTCCGAATGACAGTTGCAGCAGATCAAATAAACCGGAATAACGATACGCTATTATTTTAATTACATACTTTCAATAAATGATTAATTAAGCTTATATTAAAAGTAAGCAGAAACAAAGTAATTATACAGTTGACCATTGACCTATTGAACTCTTTTTAATTTATTATTTTTTTATCTCATCATTTTGCAAAAATTTATAATTTGATGTTTTCGTCTTTTTTACTTAATCTTTTGCAAAAAAGGAAAGAAAATTGAATTTCTAAAATTTCTGTCTGATTTCAGTAGTCATAATTTGTTGAATCAGATCAGATAGCAGATAATCAAATCAGATTATTTATTTATATCAATTGATTTTGTCCCTGAATAAATCAAAATAGTGTGATCAATCAAATCTTACATAATGCACAAATAAATCGATTTATTCATGAAAAGACTATCGATAGCTCAATAATTCAGATACAAATATGGGCAGTTTATGATCAAATCAAGTAATTCATAATGGAATCAAATTATTCATAGTTAAATTTAATTACTGGTGATTAGACTAGATGAGATAGTCTGATCTAATGTATATCATCTAGTCCATCTAAGTTATTTTGCTGTTTGCTTCTTAGTATTTAATTATTGGAAATTATAAATTACAATTCCAGACTATTACCAATTTCATTACTAATCTGAAATTCAATCAGAATATAGCAGTAGATTATCTAAAATTGTTAAAAATTGGACGAATACTTATATTTATGATGTACTTAAATAGCATAACTATTATCAAAATATCTTAATCAAAAATTTAAAGCTGAAATTTTCAAAAAACTTTTCCTCCCTTTTTTGTCTTTTCTCTTTGTTTTTTTAACCAGTAACTGCAAATATGTCAATAATATTTATAAACTATGAAATATGTATACAATTTTAGAAATTGAAATTTGATTAAATATTTTTCTTTTACATTTATTACAATTCCAACATTTTCTTGACAAATGCTTACAAATTTTGAAAATTTGAGATTTTAATTGCTTGTCAAACCATTTAATTCATTAAAAATAAATCGTACGATCTGGATAAATTTTAAATGCAATTATAATGAATTGTTTTGTGTGGAATAAATCACTGAATTAATAGTCAGTAAATTATTCTAATTTCTTAACAATATTTTAATTTATTTACATAACTTGATCAGTGAATAATGATTTTCTTGTTACTGATGCTAATTAATTTTTGTTGAAATGAAAAATTAAATAAATGGCATTAACTAATTAAGAAAAATCAATTTTGCTTATCAAAAACTTTTGTTTTTTAATAATTTTTCCCGCTATAAACAAACAAAAACGCTGATCAAATAATTGAAACAATTGAATTTTTAACTTTGAAATGAACAAAAAAATTTTACATCAGAATTAAAATGTATTAAAAGCCTAGGCAAAAAAAAAGTCATTACAAATATGCTAATTAAATATAATATACATTTCAATGGTATACGGTGAAAATTCAAGCAATTTTATTGCTTTCAACAACAACACAGCTGAAAATAATTTACATTCTAATTGGATGAGATAAGAATATTAAGTAATCAATCTTGTCGTTGTCAAGAAAAATATCTCTTAAAAAGTCAATAGTAAAAATTGATGAGAAAAAAAATTCAATAATGCCCAAAAATATATTGATAAAACCAAAAAAAAAAATAAGAATGACGATGAATGAATAATATTTGCTGAAATATTCGGTAATGTTTTGTATGTCTCAAAAAATGGGAAAAAATTTTTAATCCAATGATTAGAAATTGTATTATTGTTATTATTATCATTACTATTATAACAATATTTACTTCATTTTTTCTTTTTTCTTTCATTTTCTATTCTCTGCTAAGCAAATCAATCATAATTTATAATAATTGCAAATAACTAATATAACATTATATTTATTTTAATTCAAACTAAAATTTATTTGTCAAAATCATCGTTAACGCAATAAGCTTCTTTGATAAAATTGATTTGTAAGGAAAATAAAATGAGTGCAAATTATTTACTGTAAAGTTCCGTTACATGTACTTTTAATTTTTTCAATGAAAAATTTTATAAGTAACGCATATTACACTTCATTTTACAGTACAGCTAGTTTCGATTTTAATTAATTCAATATCTATTGATGTACATCTGTATGTATATATTAGTTTATTGAAATTTCATATTTCTTTATGTAGATTTACATGTCATTGCAAAATGATGATTGTTGATAATTGCAATTATTTTATTTATTTTTCCGGCTTATTCTTTTTTTTTTTTGCACGCTAATATGAATTGTTTAATATGTTGATGAAGTGTTGAGGAAAGGGAAAAGTTCATGTGGTGGTAGAGGAGGAGGAGGAGGAGAATGAGGAAAAAATTCAATGGTTTACTTCAAAAAGAGCCAAAGCATAAATACTAACCGTAAGGATTTTCTTCAAAAAGAGCCAAGGCATAAATACTAATCATGCTCGAGTATATTTTCATTGTTATTAAAAAAAAAATCTAATGTCAAATGTTTTCTTTTCTTTAGGCCTATTTAAAATTTTAACAAATAAACAAGAAAAAAAAAGAAAGAAGAGAGAGAGAGAGAGCTAGAGGGAAAGAGAAGAGAAGAAAAAGAAAAGAGGATAATTTCGTCCTTCTGCAATGAAATACCAAATAGATGGAGACAATATGATTGATGTTCATGTAGCTAGTCCATACTAGGCCCTTTTTCCATCCAATCTCTCACGCTTGTCTTAGTAAATTCTCGCTTACTACCCGTGCTAGGCCTTCCCATCCATCCATCCATCCATCCAATCTAACCAACCAACCATTCCTTTCTTCCTTCAATCCTATCAATGCTAAGCAATATTTCCATCCATCAATAACCTTATATTTCCATCCATTTCATAGATTGCGTCACATTTTATATCGGCTTTTATATCGGCCTCTGTAATATACCATTTAAAATCTCTTTAACTTTCTGTTAAATTTCTTCCTTTTTCCCTTTCTTTTCTCCTCCCTTCATTTCTCTTTATATTTATTCAAATAAAAATGAAATATATGACGTACGTAAACAAATTTTTATCTTCTCCCTCTCTCCCTCTCACTATCTCTCTTTTTCCTTCCTTTTTCATTTTTGATTATCATTTCATCTTAGCAACGATAAAAATCGTTGGATTCCTTCGTTTTTTTTTTTTCAAAATTTTTTTATTGAAATTCAGAATTAATACATCACCGATTCATCTTTTTTCTTTTCCTCCATTTTTCCTTTCTCTTTCCTTCTTTCATTTTTCTCTTTATCAATTTCTAAAAGTGATATTATATCTAATCACTGCTTTTAAGATATTTTCCTTCTATCTAATCATTTCTTATAATAAATTATTGAATATTTTCCTTTTTTTCTACCTCATTTTCTTTTTTTTCCATCTATCAACATAGTATTTCGTATTTTTTTTTTGTTTTCGATGACTGAAATTTTCGAAATATTGATTGAATTTTATTTAACTTTAAATTTTGTCGCATTTTTCCGACTTTATTTCCTAGAAATTTATTCTATTTTCAATTTTCTCAATGTCCTTTTTGTACACATTTTTTTAAAACAATTTTTCAAATAATAAAATATTTTAATTATTTGTTTTTTAGATTGTTTGATTTTAAATTTTTAGAAAAGTGATAAATTTCCAATAAATTTAAAGCTTTAGGATGGATTCCCGAGATATGATTAGGTGTGTAAATAATCCGGATGAGCATTCCAGCCAACATTCCAGCGATGAATTGAGCAGTATTGGTGGTGGCGATTGTGATGGAGATGACGATGATAATGGTTCAAGTGAATGTGATAGTGATGCTGATATGTATGATCTATTTAGCAAAAATTTTTTAATTATTTTGAAAATTTTTAAAACAAAAAAAAAAGATTTACTAATTTATTTTCCGAAAACAAAACAAAAAAACCGAGTATTTTTGCTAATGCAATCTTTCCATCAGAAGTTGGTCATCAGAAGCAGAAATGAATTATCAGCAAAATTGTTATAAATCATCATCATTATTGCTGTCTCAAATACATGATGATAAAAATGATACATTATCGATTGATAATACCGGAAATGACGATCCAGCAGTAGCGTTATCGCTCTACAATAATGTTATGATGAAGGTTTCATTTTCATAATAAAATTATTACAATATTTATTCGTCAATTTTCTTTTTTAAAGATTTATTTTAACAATTCATTCTACACTTGAAAATCGTACTAAACTCTCAATTAAATTATAAATTATAAAACTTTTTAGGATTATAGTTGAAAATTATGATAATATTAATTAATGTTATAATTTCGTTACTTCACTTCCTTTTTATTCCTTTCTAATCTTGTTTCTTTCTTAATCAATCAAGGATGATAATTCGAATAATGATAGTGATGAAGAGTTTGCCGTGCATGCATGCTTACGAGGGCTTATTAAATCAAAATCGATAACTTCAATTCAAAAACATGCTTATATTGGTATTTTTTTCTGATAGTTTATTTAATAGTTAATTTAGTTATATAGAATAATGTTCATTTTATGTTGAATTTAATGTATTGTTTAATGTTGCTTACTCAACAATTAATTTAATTGTGCACATAAAGATTTATTTTAACATTTCATTTTACACCTAAGAATGGTATTAAATTTCCGATTAAATTAATACAATAAAGCAAGGTTAATGATTCAATCAATGTTTATTATTAAAGAAATTTGCTGTAATTCGTATTGCTAAGTAATGATAATGGAAGAAAAAAGAAAACGCTAAAATTTGTAGCATCAATAAGATAATAAATTGTTAATAAAATTCAAAAAAACAAAAAACAAGGGCATTCCTTATATATTTTTTACTTTTATTTTAACGCTTAAAATTTAATAATTGAGAAAATTTTTGAAGATGAAAAAATTCTCGATGGCAATACATTTATTGATACGAGTAATGATAAATGTTTGGCTGATGAATTGGTTAATGCGCAAACAATAAGCGATGACGAAACTTCCGCATCTTCGGTACCGTATTTTTCACGGAATCGAACGTATCACGATTATCCAACACCCATATTTAAGGTTACTCCTAATCAATAAATAATTCCAATTCAGTTATCATATATTGTTGATATGTTAGATATACTCATCTCATATGCGACTTGGATGGACAATATCACAAACAAAGCTTAAGATTTTTGCTATTTGTTTATTTTCAGCTAATGTTCAATCTATTTTTCTCTTCTCTTTTTTTTTGCATTTAGAAACATTTTTTAATTTAAAATTTTACTCTTTTTTTTGCATTTTGAATATAAAAATTTAATTTTTAGACAAAATCAAATATAAATCTAATTGATAATTGGTCAATACCAGCAAATAATTTCAAGTATGGGATGGATTTTTTTGAAAGTGATGATGATTTAGACCAAGCAAGATCGTCACCATTTACTTGTTGTTGGTCAGCACCGGAATTTATTGCTGACAGCGAGCGACACGTACTAATACAATTATTTAATTTATTTTCCAATATCACTTCTTTTTTTTTTTCCTCCTCCATTATTATTTATTTTACAAATTGATGTAAAATAGTTTCAGTTTGGGTAAAAAATGAAGTAATTAGTAATGTTATTAAATTTATGAAAAAGAAATGTTATTTTAGTTATGCAAATCTTTTGAATTATAAGTGTAAATAATTACAAATTATTAAATTTGCAATATTAAATTAACATTGAAAAATTATTTAAAAATAAATAAGAAAGTATATTTTAGGATAGAATATTAAGAAAATAAGTATGATTGATAAAGATTAAAGGCAAAGATATTTATATTTCTCAAACGAATCATATTTGTATTATTAAATATGTTTGTTCCATTGACAAATTTAACAAATTTCTCTTCTAATGATAATTATTTTCAGACATCAGACGAATTATCAACTTCAGAAGATGTTTGTTTTGCTAAAGGAAATGTGACGAATGAAAAATCTGAACGGTCACTTTTACATTAATAGTACTTTAAACTTTTCTTTCCTCATAACTCCTAAAAAGAAAACAAATTGGAGCCAAGAAGCCAAGAAGAGTTCATGTAGCCAAGCAAATGATTGCATAATGTTGTTAACGAATTTTAGTGTTGATTTATCTGAATACGATGAACCAATGCGCACGAGTATTTTGGATTTCAGTGGTCCGGTATCAGGCCAAATTATTAATTCGACCCGTTTAAATATACTAGCAAATGAAACATGTCCAAG